AGAGAGACAGGGCACAGCTATGAAGCAATAGAAATAGGACTTGAGCTCAGCTCCTCTCAGCTCCAAAGTCAGAACTCGAGACCCTGCGGGGCTCTTTGCTGTACCCCAGACTCTTCCCAGAAGCACTCGCTCCACTCTGCTTCCTACCAGGGGAATGACATCGAAGACATGTTGTTGTGTTTGTTTGTTTGTTCTATTGATTTCCGAGAGGAAGGGAGAGGGAGAGAGGTAGAAACATCCATGATGAGAGAGAATCATGGATCAGCTGCCTCCTGCACGCCCCCTACTGGGGATCGAGCCCACAACCTGGGCACGTGCCCTTGACCGAGATGGAACCTGAGACCCTTCAGTCCGCAGGCCGACGCTCTATCCACTGAGCCAGACCAGCCAGGGCCTCCCATGCTATTCTCTACCAGCCTCAGAACCAGCGGAAGGTGGGCCCTCTTTGGGGGGATGGGCAAGGTTACGCAGATCACCGATGGCCTCATTTCAAAGCCTGATCTGTTTCTTCATCACCGTACTGCCTCGCAAGGGACGATTCCACCGACATGTTTCTCCTCCAGGGAGCGGTGCCTCTAGAAACCCCGCCCCGGGTTCTTCCCAGCGGAGCCTAGAACTCACCTGAGCTCCTGGCAGGGGGATCGCGTGTCTGTGCTTCTTTGGACAGAGCATCCTCCGGGCCACCTCCATGAAGCAATAGCTAGCGAGGTCCAGGAGAGCCATCTGGGCGAGGCCGCGGAAGGGCAGACCAGCTGGGCCGGCCTCGCTCTTCTGGTTCCCAAACCAGACAGGACTGTTCGATCTTGCACAGCCGTCAGCTGGCTCAGAGCGTAACCATTGCCAACTGCGGAGACATTTCAGGCCTGCGTGGCCAAAGCCAGGTTCATTATAAGCAGAGATGAGCCAAGGCTGGTGGCATTTCCTGCCCGGCCTTTCTATTTCGGAAGAGAGCCTTCTTCATGACCTGGTCCTTTCGGGCTGTGGAGCTGCAGCACTTTTCATAACCTGGGGGTGACTGGGATCAGTGGTCAGGGCCCATAAACGTGCAGGCCCGTTTGGGAGCTGCAGCTCTAGAGGCTTTGGGAGTGGGGGGAGGGGCGGTTGAAAATGGGTCGTTACATGCTGGTTCAGGCTGATACGCCGAAGGGAATGGCTTTCCTTCGATGCTGGGAACGATAGTTGATGTTATCCTAATAGACAAGGGGTCAGGCCCCACAACTTGTGGCCGATTTCTCTGCATGAAAGACTGATCTCACTTTATAGGGAAACTTGAGGGGATTACACAAGTTGCCTCAAAACGGACCAGTATCTGCCTGGTTGCCTTTGAACATTGCAAATCAAAATACCCTTGGGCAAGTTAGTGTGTTTTTTAACTCTCTCTCTCTCTCTACTTCAAGATGTAAGTTGTCTAACAAGATCTCTTTATTTGCCTTTGAAATCGATGTCTCTGACTCAAGTCCTGAGCTCTGCTAAACTGCTGGTGACAAAGGTTACATTCACTGATAAGAGAGATTTGATCAATTTAAAAAAGCGATTGACAGTAGGACGCCAGGCTTTATGTGTAATATTTCTGTAATCTCATTCATGCCAGAACGTTTATATCTGTTTATATGAATATGCATGAAAAAGTAATACGGATAGAAATAAGCCAGTTGGAGAAAGATAAATATCACATGATCTCACTCATTTGTGGAATATAATGAACAACATAAACTGATGAACAAAAATAGATCCAGAGACAGAGAAGCATCGATCAGACCATCCAACCTCAGAGGGGAGGGTGGGGGGAGGGGGTAAAAGATCAACCGAAGGACTTGTATGCATGTATATAAGCATAACCTATGGACACGGACACAAGGGGGATCAGGGCATGTGCTGGGGGGTGAGAGGGGCTGGGGAGTGGTCGATGGGGGAAAAAGAAGACATATGTAAAACTTTAAACCATAAAGAATTTTTTAAAAAGTAATAAGGATACGTTGAATGTTAATGGTGGTTATTTTCAGATCATGGAAACACAGGTGGTATTTTTGCCTCCCTCTTCCTACTTTTTGGTGTTTCCCAAAATCTCTACAAGAAGCACAGAATTACCTTTATAAGCAGAAAATAAAACAAGTCATTTGAGAAATGTCAAGCCACCCCTACAGCAGTAGTGTCACCAACTCTGATGTAACCCAATATTGAACAAGAAGTTTAAGATGCGAAAGACTACCAGTGGTTCTCAACCTTCTGCCCTTTAAATACAGGTCCTCATGTTGTGACCCAACCATAAAATTATTTTCGTTGCTACTTCATAACTGTCATGTTGCTACTGTTATGAATCGCCATGTAAATATCTGATATGCAGGATGGTCTTAGGCGACTCCTGTGAAAGGGTCGTTCCACCGCCAAAGGGGTCGCGACCCACAGGTTGAGAACCGCTGATAGGCAGCTTTATGAATGGAGAGGTCTTCAGTAAGACGAGGGTCATGGTAGGGCCTTATCATTTTCTTAATCAGATGCCCGGGCTTTGTGTTGTATCTGAGTCTTTTTTCATGAAACAAGCTAGTTAGAAAGAAACCATATTTATAGAAAGCATGGTGCCCATGCAAGCTGGGGACTCCCAAAAGGGCCACCCAGTCTCCGAGGGGCTGCGCCCAGGTCCTGAGAGTGAAGGTAGGAAACCATGGGCTCCCCAGCAGAGACCTGGCCCAGCCCTGCAGGCTTGTGGGAACAGCTGGACTGAGAAAAGCTGGGTCAGAGGCCCGAGTTCCACCCACGGCTGTGCCTCGAACCAGCTGTGCGATGCCCGGCAGTCCACGTATCCCTACTCGTGTGGGTCCATGGAGCCTGCTCCAGCTCCAGGGCCCTGTCTGCCCTCGCTGGGCAGCATGGCAGCGCAGGGTACGTTGCACAATTGGAGACCCATTGTCCAGAGCCACCAGGACACTCCTTCCCTGGAATTGCCACCTCATCGCGCTGCACACACCGGGTTTCCCCATCCCGGTTTCAGTTGTCCTCCCTCGGGAAGATGTCGCAAGGCCTGACTAATGCGCACCAGTGTCCCAATTAGGGCGATGCGGGGCGCAGGTGCTGGGAGCTCCAAAGGGCCAATCCCAAACCCACAACCGGATCGCAGCGCACATGCTGTGCCCCAAAGCCGCCTTCCCTCCCAGCTTGTGGGGTCACGCCTTCGCCTCTTTCCAAAGAGGCGCACCCACCACCAGGAGTTGACAGTCGTTTAGTCAGGGGGCGCCCGTTCAGAAGGCAGCAGTCATACCTTCTCCCAAAGAATAATTCTGAGATTAAAAAACAAACAAAAAAAGTCCCTCCCACTGAGCGCCGAAGACCTCGCCCACCGAGGCACTCGGTTCCCTCCTCCTCTCCCGGGAAAAGGAATTCTCAGTTTTCTTGATTTACTTTGTAAGGTGCGCGGCAGCGGCCCGGCTC